CATTTTGGTTTAACTCATCCATTGCATTCACCTTAATGTATCATCACTTAGCCAGCTTTCTTCTTTCCATTTCTCCTTTCCTAACCTTCTGAACTTAGTTGATAGGTATATACTTCCCTTTTAATATTAAATGGTTGATTCTTTTAATGAGGAGGTGAATACAATTTCAAATCTCCATCAGAACAGGAAGCCTGGTCTCATTAATGATTTTGAGTTCTGTTCCACATTTTCTTGCCACTCTATCCAGTGCGTTGTAGTGTGACCCTTTTCAGGGTCAGTTGATAGTAGTAGCTATCACTTTTCAGTTCAGCGGTTCTCAGCCTTCCTAATGCTGTCCCCCTTTAATACAGTTCCTCATGTTAAGGTGACCCCCCCAACCATAACATTATTTTCTTTTGCATTTTTTAATCATTTTATTAGGGACTCATACAACTCCTATCACAATCCATACATACATCAATTGTGTAGAGCACATGGTCCTGTTGTTTTCTCCTCCAGATTGTTCATCCAGCCTATCTTATTTAGACAAACCTGCGAAGATATTAACATGCAGAAAAACAAGACAGAGCAAAACCAACCAACAAAATAAAACAAAACAAGCCAATGACAAAAAAACAAAACAAAACAACAACAAGAAAGAAAAGCTTGTAGTTAGTTCAAGGACTGTTTGTTGGTCTTTAGGAGTGTTTTCCGGTCAAGTCTGATGGGGCGCCAAGCCTTAGCCCCCAAATCTATATTTGGTATTCCCTACGGACTTCGTTGCTCTGTTCCCCTTGCTGTTCTCTTCCACGCCCTTAGTGTTTTGCCTCGGTGTGGTGGGATCAGATCAGGCATACCGTAAAAGCATGTTCGTTGTTACTTCATAACTGTAATTTTGCTACTGTTATGAATCAGGTGACCCCTGTGACAGGGTTGTTCAGCCCCCAAAGAGGTCGTCACCCACAGGTTGAGAACCGCTATTCTAGTTCTTCTGGTCTTAGGATTGCGAAGGCTGCTGTTTGTATGGTTCTAATAATTTTTTCCATGTGCCTTTCAATTTTCATCACTTTTCTTGACTCAGGATTGGGAGAGAGTACCCTAGTTGACTGCTCACAAGCTTTTAAGACTCTAGTTGCTATTTACCAAAGTGGGGTATAGAACATTGCCACTGTGCATTCTTATGCCAGTTGACCATGGTGTCCCCAAGACGACTCCTGAGTTCCCAGGCACCATTGGGCATTCTTCAACTTTGGTCATGTCTAAGAAGTTTTCATAACTTTTTCCTCACTATGCACCACATCCATGGATATATTTTTAGCAAAAATAAGTATATATAGACAAATATCTAAAGGGGTAATTTTGATAGATTTTTTTTGGAGGACACAAGTTGATCATGGAAGCTTATTAAGTTTTAAGAAAATAGAAAACTACATTGGTGAGGAAAAAAACCAGGAACATTGTCCTGTGGAATTTTTATTTCCTTGTCATGAGACTTTCTGCTCATTCTTCAAGGGTATCAAGAGATGGTCCATTAAGGATTTCATTGGAAAACTGAATTCATCCACCTTATAACTGTGACCTTGCCCCTTTAGCCGTTTTGTTCGCCAAACTCAGCATAGTAAAGAAACATTGTCGGAGACTTCGGAGGGTGCCCAAACTATTGCTTTGATATGGTGGGACTCTTAAGAGTGTAGAATTCTTGCAGGAAGGGTTCTAAAGATGGAAGTACCACCTTTAGATGTATATATATCCAGATGAAAACTATGTTTAGAAACAATAGTTTTACATTTTGACTTTTAAAATAGTTTCATTGGCATATACTTCACATATCATAGAATTTAGTCATTCATATTAAGATTTGTGCAATCATCATCAGATACATTTCAGAATATTTTCTTCTCATACTTGGTAGCTTCCCATTTCCCCCCATCCTCCCCTACTATGTCCCTGTCCAGTTAATGTCTCTATAGATCTACCAGTCTTGGATTTCTTATACAGAAAGTCATACAAAGCAAAAACCCTCAATAAAAGAAAACACTTAAACTATTAAAAACTGAATTAACTTTAAAATGGATCAAAAGGGAAATCGAATGATGGATTATTACATTTTAGCCCAACTGCATCCAGCACAATCAACTTTGTGGATGCTGTCTGCATGATAGCAAGGCTATTAAAATCTCTGGACTATGGATACTTAATCCATGTATGGATCCTGCACATCAATTTGGGGCTTCCACTGTCATTCATAGCCATCTGCAAAACAGGTATTTACAATCTAGCCTCTGATACTATTCCCTTCTTTAGGTTTGGCTTTTATTATTTTCAGTGATTGGATCACAAAAGCTAGTGTACTTCTTCCATGTCTATGTAGGCTGTAAGACCACAGGGGCTGTTCTTTCTGATAGCTGGGCACCATCTGGTTTCTTCACCACACTTTGCTGTAGCCGTCATATCTGTAGTGATCCTTTTATGAAGGTGAGTGAGTATCGAGTAGAGTCATGTCATAAGGAACTAATTTTTCTTATATTGGGGCTTTAATTAAGTGTGATCCCAGAATTCATTTATATATCTATGATTTATATATGTCCCTGGTTCATTTTAGAGACATCATTTTATGGTAGAGGACATTATAAATTATCTCACTGGGGCATAAGGTAATTCAATTGATGTCATTAATTTAGCCAGTGATAGAGTTTTGAAACAATGTTGAGTAATGGAAATTATACTCGTAAAGCCTGGTGTCAGCCTGTAATACATGAATTGTTGAATTGTACAGATTAAACTCAAGTGACTGAACACTATTTATACAAACTGAGGTTTGGAGATAAGGCAAAACTGTCAGTAACATTCATTAAGGCCAGAACCATTGCTGTAAGATGTCATAAGGAAGCAAGGAGGGCATTCAAATAGTAAATATGTTGTAGCCCCAGGCCACCATTCTTTGTGCCCCCTCAAAGCACAGGGTCTGTACCAAAGTCCAATAACTGACAATTCCATAACTTTGGCATATCAGCCTTCTACTTTTTACACTAGAGTGTTTTAGCCTTATGTATATCAAGGGAGTATACCATTGTCATAAATCTACTATAGGTGAGTCTAAGGTAAAGCCTAGTTTACGTATAGGGGCTTCTCCATTGAATCCTTTTGTGACCTATGAAGGCTGTTGTGTAGCTCAAAAAGACAGTCTAAAGTCCCCGTAGTTTATAGCACATGGCCTGGGTCCCCAAGGACTGGATAGAAACAAAGTCAAGTGTCCAATTTGGAACTTTTTATGGAATGTATTCTTTCTTGGGTTCTGTTTTTTTTTTTAAGTTTTTTTTTTCCCCTATGGGAGGTTGCCCCTCCTGGTTTACCCTCCAATGGAAATGTAATCTCCTTCTCTGAGATATAAATGTCCTGTGCCCTTATCTTGACTTGAATTTCCAGTAAGTTCCGCTTATCGCTCTTGTAGGAATGTCTGCTGATTTGGGGTGACTTTAGCATAGTTTTGTTTAGCATCAACAAATGTTCTCCCTGTCCCCCCATCTTGAAAAACTCACCCCAGCTGAGGTGAGGTCTCTTCTAAGTGAATTTTAAGATGTACATGTAATGGGGAATAATATATGGTTCATGGGCATTAGGCAGGCCAAGGGTCCTCAAACTTTTTAAACAGGGGCCAGTCCAATGGTCCACCCGTTGGAGGGCCGTACTATAGTTTAAAAAAAACTATGAACAAATTCCTATGCACACTGCACATATCTTATTTTGTAGTAAAAAAACAAACAGGGCAAAAACACCCAGAGGGCCGCATCGATGTCCTCGGCGGGCTGCATGTGGCCCGTGGGGCCCTAGTTTGAGGATGCCTGATGCAGGCTGTCTATCTCCTTACTTGAGAGACTGGATAGAATATTAATTTACCTGAAGACAGATGTTTACCTTCTAGGTGTTTATCCTTATAGCAGTGTACTCATATAATATTTATCCTTTTGTGATGACTAACTTTACTCAGCATAAGTTTCCGGGTCCATCCATGTCATGAGATGTTTCATGATCTCATCGTTGTTTTTAGGCACACAGTTTTCCATTGTGTGTATGTACCATAGTTTCTTTATCCATTTTTCTACTAATGGTTATTTGGACTGTTTCCAGCTTCTTGTTTTCTGAACTGTGCTGCAGAGAACATGTGGGACCATACTCCTGTTTGTGTTTTGTCTCGTTTCTTTAGGGCACATGCCCACCAAAAATATGGCTGGATCATATGATATTTCTAGTTATTTTCGGTAGTGCCATATTACTTTCCACAGTGGTTGTACATATTTGCAAGCCCATCAATAATGTATTAGAGTTTCAGGTATCTTAGCCTGCTCTACAACATTTGTTTTTCAAAATAGTTTTATTGGAATATAACTCACAAATGATATGTTCTCTAATTTTTTGAATTAGGTTATCGCGGGTGTAAGGTGATTGGAGGAAATCCAAGAGATTGGAACTCTTATAAACTCCTGGTGGACTTGTAAATATGGATAACCACCCTGGAAAATGATATAGTGATTTCCACAACCACTGTGGAAAGTGATTCCTTAAACAGATGGCAAAAGAAGCACCATATATTCCAGCAATACCATTACTGGGCACATACCCTAAAGAGAAATAAGAAACAGATGGTGAACAGATGTATGCTCCCCCATGTTCAGTGCAGTACAGTTCACAATAGCAAGAAGTTGGAAACAGCCTAAATTCCCAAGAGTAGAAGATTGGATAAAAAAACCCCAAAACTCAGGTACATATGATGAAACCATAAAAAAACTTAGGACATTGAGGGATCTGAAAAACATTATGCTGAGTGAAGAGAGTCAGTCATGAAAGGACAGATCCTGAGCCCACTGCTGTAGGAAGAAGCAACAGGACAGGCGCAAGCTCAGGCTGCAGGGCATCCATTCTGCTGGCCAGGGTGGCCGGATAGCCTGGTAGAGAGTCTGACTGGTGTCAGTGAACCATACAAAATCCTAATTAGGTATGTATCTTGAAAGTCACTTTGGAGGATGGCTCGTCATGTCAACTGGAATCAGATTGTTAAGGGAAGGGGAGGGGATGTTGACTACTTAGTGGTGGCCATGCAAAGTTATGATGAGGTCGCTGGTACAGGTAGACATCCTTATCAGAGGGCTGAAGGATACTGATGGGAAAGTCAAGTCAGGAGAGGGGATAGGGAGTGGACATGTCTGGGGGAGCACAAATGCATGGCTGTTTGTTGGGAAAAGTGGGAAGACCGATCGATCTCCAAGTGGGGTAGGGTGGGGGAATGACTGAAAATACGTCTAAGGACCCTAAGTCAGGATAGTCTCTTGTAATATGCACCAAATAAGCCACGTTGGCCCAAATTTTGGGGCACATCCTTGGGACCTAGGCTAAATGCCGTAGAACACTGGAACATTGACTCTTGGATCTTCAAAAGCGCACAATGTGCTCTGACAGCTGCATCAGTGAGAACCAATGTGGAAACTCCACTAGGTGAACTGGACTTTATCTTAAACACACGTGTAATCTGAGAATTTAAGACGAAAAATTCATGGTGTTTGAGAAGCAGAAGCAATACCAAGAGTATTGAACTGCAGGTAGGTAGACAATCATTGACTTACTGTATCACCATCCTATATTCTGTATTAAGATATATACTATTCTGGTAAACTTGAGACTGACATTCTGAGTGAATAGTATTCTAAATTTCACTGACAGCCAACTCCCATTATTTGTATAAATAGCATCTAGCCATGAAAAGACTGATTCTGTACAGGTGAATAATTCAGGTATTGTGATATGGAGTTAGCCTACTATGTTAGTCTAGGTTAATTAGAGAATCAAATCCAGGGACAGTGTGTGTGTGTGTGTGTGTGTGTGTGTGTGTGTGTGTGTGTGTAAGAGAGCTTTATATCAAGGAGTAATTTTATTTTAAGAAAACATCCCAGCCCAGTCCAGCTCAAGTTCCTAAGTGATATTAGTCTATGTCTGATACCAGTCTATAAATTCCTGTCCAGACTTGTGCAACACATGCAATGATACCAAATGCAGGAAGATCACAGGCCAGTGGGTGGAAATTCTTGTGAATTCAGTGGCGGTGGAAGCATCTCAGCGTTGGCGTGGGGTTTCCACATAGCTCCTCCAGCTCCAGGGCTCTGGTTGCCATCTGCATAACTCCATGTGGCTTGTCAACTGGAATGTAAAGCAGAGAGAGAGTGTGTGGTCCCTCCTCCCAGGAGATAAAAGAGGGAGTTCCCAGAATCATCCTGGTGGATATTACCTTAGACCTGATTGAAAGGCTAAACTCCACCCATTCACTCCTAATATCCACAAATTGACCCAAGATTATGTAACTACCACACCTACATTGGCCCAATTTCCCTCTCTCAACAGTGCTTTAAAAAATTAGTACCAGGGGATAATCAATGATAATATTAATGGAAGATCTTTATGTCCCAGGTTGACGATCAATAAGATTTTCTACTACAGATTACCAGGAAGTTTTGAAGGGAGTCAAAAGCAGATAAAAAAACCACCAAAACAGATCAAGGAATAGGTTTTGGGCTTGCACTCAATCCTAGCTCCAATTTAAGGGCAGTTACTTCTTATATCAATGGCCCTGCTTGATTCTCGCCCTCAGGAAGGGAACACAGAAGATATGGGTGCTTTAACAAAGTGCGGTGGAGAAATTAGATTGTGCCCTGGTTATCAGATAAAATAGCCTCTGGGGTCTTAAAGGCTTGTTTTGAAATAAGCAGCCATCTAATTGACGTGTCAACTGATTCCACATGGGAGAAATACACCAATACGAAATATATGAAGTACTGAAGTACTGAAGGATTGTAAACCCTATAATCTGAAGCTGCAGGTGGAAATTGTATCAGAGCCTAAGCTGTGAGATTCTCCTTTGCAGAAGGATATGGATGATAGTGGGAGACCAAGATATATTTGTGAAATCTGCGTAGGAAATAAGGCCCTGTTGATTTCCCTCTGTCGATAATAATAGAGGAATGAGAAGAAATTGGTTACCAAACGGAGTGCATTGGGGAGATGACTAAAGAAGATAAAAATGATAAACCTGACTTGAATGGTTAAAATCTTGTCAGTTTATCCTCTCTCTGATGCACGTTGGGCCTGACCTGACTTTCAGCATTTTCTGTACTGTTTTGTTTGTTCATATTGGGATATATCTCAGATGTATTTGGTCATTGGGGGTACCCCTCTTGAATTTTTCATATACTTTTAAAATGTTTTCCAGTATGTGAAATCCAGGATTGATGAACCTGTTAAGACAGCAAGTAAAATAAGTGTTTCTGGGGGACTTCTCAAGATCTGTTCTGAAGTACAATGCTGTCTGTGGTAGGATTATATCTATCCACATTCAGAAAAATCCAATTAATGCAGCTATTACTCAATTTTATGCATCAATTACAAAAGCTAGTGATTAAGAACTTGAAGAAATCTGACATCTTCAGTCTGAAATTGATCAAACATGCGTTCAAGATGCATTGAAAATTATTGGCGATTGGTCTTCCCCAGATGGACTATACAGAAATCATATCGATTGCATCTGTTAATTGTTAATGGAAGCGTTAATGGAAAAGCTCAATATCAGGAGCTAAAACCAAGCCAGGGGCTACCTGTGGAACAGATAATGAATTCTTCATACGTAAATTCAGGTTGAGGCTGAAGAAAATGAAAAAATCCATTTGAGAGCCAAAATTTGACCTGGAGTGTGTCCGACCTGAATTTCAAGAACATCTCAAGAACATATTTCTAAACTCATTGAACACTAATGATAAAAGACCGCTGAGCTGTGGGAAGACATCAATAGTATCATTCCTGAAGAACGCAAAAGGTCATTAAAAAGACAGGAAAGAAAGAAAATATCAGAACTGGGTGTTAGAAGAGACTGAAACTTGCTCTTAATCATAGAGTAGCGAAGGCACATGGAAGAAATGATGAAGTCAAAGGTTTTTATAGAAAATTTCAAAGGGCAGATTGAGAGACAAAGTAAAATAGTGAAAAATAGTTTTCTTAATGTAATTTTTTTAGCTCTCTTCACGGTTACACAGGAATCCATTGATTTCTGTCTGTTAATTTTGTATCCTTGTCTGGTTCCCATTATCAGGAAAAATGTTCCCATTTTTTAATATGTTAAAGCATGGCGCTAGCTGTTGGTTTTTCATATATGGCCTAATGTTGAGGAATTTCCCTTCTATTCCTATTTTGTTGAATGATTTTATTCTAAATGGGTGTTGGATGTTGACAATTGCCTTTTCTGCGTATATTTAAATACTCACATTCTTGTTCTTTGCCTTGCTTATGTGGTGGATGATATTGTTTTTCGAATGTTGACCTCTTCTTGCATTTGTGGTACAAGTCTCACTTGCTAACGATGAGTTAATTTTGCTATGTTGTTAGATTCTAGTGGCCAGAATTTTGTTGAGGATTTTTGCATCTACCGTGTTTCCCTGAAAGTAAGACATCCCCCGAAAATAAGACCTACTTACAGTTTTGCCTCTTGCTGAAATATAAGGAATCCCCCTGAAAATAAGACCTTCCCGAAAATAAGGTCCCCCGAAGCTACCGTAACTCTGTACCATTACGGCAAACGCGGCTGCGCAGCTCACTGTTGGCCTCAGTGCGGCCGGAGCAGACAGAAATGGCTAGGTCTCTTTTAATAAAACAAGAAAGCAATAAACAATAAATGTGTACCGTATTCGTCTTCATGGAAAAGTAAGAGCCCCCGAAAATAAGACCTAGCGCATCTTTGGGAGCTAAAATTAATATAAGACACTGTCTTATTTTCAGGGAAACAGGGTATGTTCATAAGGGATATTAGGTGTGTTTTCTGTCTTTTTGGGGTCTTTGCCTGGTTTTGGTATCTGAGTTGTGCTTGATTAATTGAATGAGTTTGGGAGTTTGTTGCCCTTTTCTATATTCTGGAATAGTCCATGTGAATTAATGAAAGCTCTTCACATACTTGGCAGAATTTCCCTGTGAAGGCATCTGGCCCTGGGCTTTTCTTGGTTGGAAGTTTCTGAACTTTCTCTATATTTTCTTTTTTATGGGTTTGTTGAAGTTTTCTTTCTTTTTTTAAAAAAATTTTATTAGGGGTTCATACAACTCTTATCACAATCCATACACACATCAATTGTGTAAAGTGCATTTGTACATTCATTGCCCTCATCATTCTGAAAACATTTCTTCTCCACTTAAGCCCCCGTGTTGAAGTTTTCTACATCTGTCTGTGAGTTTATTTGCATTGACGATGTATTTCTAGATATTTTTCCATTTTTTAACTAAATGTTTTGTCCATTTTTTCATTTGGGTTTCTTGTGATGTTGCACTTTTCATCTGCTGTAGGTAGTTGCATATTTTCTTTCTTTTCCTTTGTTAAGTTTACCAGTGGTCTGTTAATTTTAGTTCTTTCAAAAAATTAACTTGTTGATTTTCTGTTACTTTCCATTTTCAGTTTGTTTCTAATCTTTATGCTTTCTTCTGTTAGAGGGTTTGTTGCGCTTTTTCTAGTGTTAACGGTACTGTGTTACGGTGTTGATTTTCAATCCTTTTTTCATGTGTGCATTGATTGCTTTAAATTGTCCTCTGATAATTATTTTTTGCTGTATGCCAAAGATTTTGGTATGTTGTTTAACCATTCTAATTTTTCCAAGGAATTTTAAAGTTTTCATCCCTTATTTGATTCATTATGCAGTTAGTTTCTTAGGTAGTATGTTGTCCAATCTCCATGTGTTTGTCTCTATGTTTCTGTTCATTCTATTGTTGGTTTCTAGTTTTATAGCATTGCGATCTAAGAAAACGGATTGCAGTTTATCTCGATTAAAAAAAATTTCTTAACGTTTGCTTTGTGGCCTACCATGTTGGTTTATTTTTTAGAGTATTTGTAGAATAATGTATACTATGTTCTGTCTATGTCTAGAAGTTTGAGTTGATTATATTGTTTTGCTCTTTTGTGTCCTTATTTTTTTTTCCTGTTGATCTGTCTTTCCTTGAGGGTGGCATGTTTCCCATTATTATTGTCCAGTTGTTTATTTCTCTCTTTAATTCTGTGAGGATTTGATTAATATATTTTGAGGTATTTCATTGGGTGCACATGTTTATTA